TCACTCCGTCTAATGTGACAGTGAAAACAGCACAGCAGCCACGAGCAAACCCTGGACGATATAAAGAACCTCCACATCAAGATAGCCAGGTGGCACAATATCTGCCCCATATAAGAGAGACGATGGGAGGACGAACACGAGCCTGCATGGTTTACGAATTTTAATTATTGACAATCTAAAAAACTTTTAATTAGCATCAAGGAATTTTATACAATTTTTTAAAAATTTCATTCCCAGGAAACTGCTGTGTTTGTGAAATGTTCTATTCTGTGTACTATGTATTGTAGCATATAAGTGTATGTACTTTACGTGTAAACAAATTATGTGATAGTGGTTTCCTATTTGTAGTGATGTTTGCCCTCTGAAGATGGTCCACAGAGACCGAAACATGTAAGGGTGTTAAGTTCTTATGTAGTAAAAAACTTACAGGTCACATTAGACGGAGTGATTTATAATTTGTAATGTTTCAGTGTTTGAACCTTTATGACTAATATTATAATAACACAACGAGACGAAGAAATTGGTAACGAAATTTGTATTAATATCATTATTAATATGGATCCGTAATAGAACAAAACAATAAAAAAACAAACTCCGTGGCTTTAGTCCGCAAGCGAACTATACCGACCGAGTGACCGTCGCTTTTCGGCGAAGTTAGTGCGTACCTGGATGGGTGCCCGCATTAGAACAATGCTCAATAACGAGTGATATATCACGAAAGCTACCCGATGATGAGGCAGCTGGTTCGAAATATGCAAAAGACACAGAATAATAAACAAATGTTAGTACACTAATATTGGTTTATTTATTTGGAATTTGTTGTGTTCACGGCCATATAATGCAAGTAAAAACACATCCATGACTGCGTAGAAGTTGTGTTAGCCCCTCAGGCATTCCGCACAAAAGTGTGTAAGCATTTTTCACCCACCATGCGTACTACATATTGCACCCCTTCTCCTAGACTTGGTCATCTTAACATCATTCAGTGATATGGGCGTACTATGACGCGTTAAGGTGGGGTCGACTGTACTTCGGCCCCGAATTTTGCTTCAGAAAACTCAAATTTGTCACATATATTATTAATTTTGTAGTTTAATTTTTTCTATTTCATATTCATAGATTCCTAATGTAAATTATACAATGGCCTAACTCATTAATGTGTCTGTCTGTAAACATATCATATACACAATATTATTAACTATTTTCGAACTGTCATTAGTTGTAAAGGTAAAATGTAAAGTTGTCCTTGTGCTTACTTAATTAAGCACTACGCCAAGAAGACGTATGGTGGAGTGGATGTGTAGATCCACATTTTCTTAACCTCGGCACTAGTTGGAGGTGAGTGCTCAGCTTCACACCCCGGCCTCTTTACCCCCCGGAAAGCCTCCGATACGCATTGTATAGGAAGTTGGGTGGACTCCAGAGTCGGTCTGGATGACTGGGGAAGTGAAAATTCTTGACCCTATTGGGACGCGAACTCCGACCCCGCGGTCGTCCACCCCATAGCCAGTCGCTAATCCGACTACGCTATCCAACGCTTGTAAAACAAAATAATTACGAAAAGGTTCTTATATTTAAATTATTGAGAAAGTCGTGTGGGCGCTTATTGGATATTTAGGGTTCGCACTGAGTGTGGTGAGGAGTTACGAGGTAAAATCGTGCAGGTGGAGTGCCACAGTCCTCAGGACTAAATACTCCCTTCTTGACGCTATGGTCTGAGACACTCTCAGTTACACGAGGTACTGGGATTTATACTAATGTTACTGGGGTAACTTAATTCAAACTTTTATTGGCCCAATATGCAGCTTTCAAAGTAGCAATATTTATCAAAATAACCCATCTTACGAAATTTCGTAATACTTCTCGATGTGGTATAGGCCCATAAATAGCCAAGTACATGGAAATATATTTTATTATGTACTGTGTATAACGCTCACGGGAAAATATGTAGGCTTGAGGTTCCCACAGCCATGGTTGTGAAGAACCTACAGGTTCTAAGAGCTTGGTACCTGCTTCATACTGGTTTATTGCTTTTCTTATTCTTTGACCTCGAAAATGGAGACGACATGTCCCTCCGAATCGTCGAATGATTTTCAATGTAATACAGACCCTTGTAACCCAGAAGACAGAAGTCTTCAGGGAACAGATTTGTATTAGCAATAAAGTATACAAAATGGTCAACAAGCCGTTTAGAAAATACGTATTCTCTAAGTTGTAGCACAACTTTCGAAACCTGTTATGTATTATTTAGAGAGTCATATCGCATGAGGGTTAAGCTGTGTTATGCTTCAACTTGGGCAGTAATGATTCGTTTAACAACAACAACAACAACAAACTCCGTGATTTTAGTCCGCAAGTGAACTATACTGACAGAGCGACCGCCGCTTGTCGGCGAAGTTTAGTGCCAACTTTTGCGGATAGATGGTGTCGCCTGGTCAGCGCAACAAATCCCCACGGTCTAGAATGTGTACAAAAGGCCGGATGGGCATTGCCTAGGCCTCTTTCGTAATATACATTTTTTCTTACAATTAGAAAAAAAAATAAAAAATCCCCACGGCTGTTAATTTCGGTTTTCTAGACAGGTCTGATTCGTTTAACAGAGTAGCAAAAAGAAATGACGGGATGACTGAATGGGAGGCCGAGGATGCATTCACGATGTTATAAGGTTTTAGCCTGGCACTAGTGTCGGAAAAATTAAGAAACCCACGAAAATACTTGTCAGAAGAACTGATGTCCAAAAGCAAATCGGTCTGTGAGACTCGATATGGCCCGATGGGCTAAGCCACTGAATCAGTGCTCGCTGCCGAATGGTGGTGTCTCGTTTTAAATGTTCCTTGTTACCGCGTAAAGCACACTGGAAATGATTTGGCCACATCCTTGCAACGTAAGAAAGGTCTCTGTGGATGTGCTCATGTGCTCGCATAGCTCGATACCGACGGCGCTGTTCTTAATAAGACAACAAACGCACGTGCCTAAACTGAGTGACTGCAGGGAAATATATAAGGAGCAGAAAATAAACCCAGTGTCACATTGTAAATGTAAGAGCGGTTTTCTAACTTTGATAAATATTTCAATTAGTGAGAAACAGAGAAACAGTCCCGCACCTCTCGTTTCTTTGTCAAGTATTCCATCGGAAAAAAAAAACCCGCAATAAAACCAAACTCTTTTGAATATATACATATGTGTGTGTGTGTGTGTACAAGACTAACCGAACCATCCGTAACAAATAACGGTAATTAATTTTGTAATAATACAATCTGAAACCCGGTAATGAGTGTCCTGTTTGAAAGCCTAATGGATATTCATATTGGAACTTGAAGCAAAATATACATGGATATTTACATGGAGAGAAGTCTATTCGTGAAACGCCACTGTTAAGATGAAATACATGAAGTAAACAAATTTGGAAAATTAAATATGGCAATGGTAACAGAAATAAGACTAACGTTAGAACAGTTAATTTTAAAAGAAACACGTCCATCCATGTCTCATCATATTTAACGCTGATGAGTACAACTTACGAAGCTCCTCACTGTATACTCGTACGTCTGTCCGATTTCTTTTCGCTTGTTTCGGCACACCACTCTCCATATGTGTATTTTACTCACAGAAAAACTGGTCTGTTTCTGAGAGTCTGTGGCGCACTGATTGCTGTCTGCTTCATGTTGGTTCCTTGCTTGGATTGTTCTCCAACCCTGAATATGAAGACGATATGTTCCTTCGAAACGTCGACTAACTTTCACCGCCCTATCTGGCTTCATATCTCAGAAGACAAACTCTTCAATTTATACCTAGCCAACAATTTTTATACACACATTTGTTCTTGTGACACTCCCCGGCCCACGATTTCCAAGAAATAGCACAATTCGATTCCTGAGTGCAAAGAATTACCAGCCTTACTTTAAGGAGAGGAAAGAATGCGGAGGAAGGCTCAAAGAATGAAGTGACAGGAAACCGAACAGAACTATGCAGTAAGTAACTTCATAAATTGTACCCTTCTTCTATGATTTCTTTTCCTTGGCACTACAGCCCCAGTGGGCCTAGGCCTACCTCCATGAACTTCTCCGTTCACTTAGGTTTTTCTAGATCTTACACGTTCGATAGGACTCCTTGGGCGGGTGATCAGCGCGTCGCAATGCCTCTACCTGTATACAAACACAGAAAATCGCACACACACAAACTAAACATCCATGCCCTGAGTGGGATTCGAACCCACGATCCCGGTACCCAAGCGAGCGAAAACAGTACATGCCTTAGACCGCTTGGCTACCGTGACAGGCCTCTCCTATGATTACTGATAGTTAAATCAACAAGGAAGATACGTGGGATATTTAGCACGCATGGGGAGATGAGAACTGCTTTCAGAATTCTAATTGGAAATCCTCGAGGCAAAGGATCTGTTGCGAGGTATAGGAACACACGAGAGAATATTACTAAACTGGACTTTGGCAGGATATGATGTATACTGAATTGAGTTAATTTAATTAATTCGCTTAGTGTGGAAGGGGGTGGAATCCAGCTGGGTCCACTCGGCACGGCGGCCATTGGTTGGCCTATTGTACCTGCCCCGGGTGATTATGATGATGGAGAATTTGTTGGAATGAAGATTGGCAAGCGAAACCGAAGTAATCTGAGAAAACCCGCCCCGGCGCCACTTTGTCCACCACAAATCCCACTATTGTACCTGCCCCGGGTGATTATGATGATGGAGAATCTGGTGGAATGAAGATTGGCAGGGGAAACAGAAGTACTGGGAAGAAACCCGCCCCAGCGCCACTTTGTCTACCACAAATCCCACTTGACCAGAACCGGGATCGAACCAGGGCCGCCGCGGTGGGAAGCCAGCGACAAACCGCTTGAGCTATGGCGCGGCCTTTGAATTGAGTTTGTTCAATATATGATCCAGTGACGGGGTTTTTTAATATGGCTGTCAACTTGGAGGTTCCACAAAACAAGTATCTTGACAAGTTGGACAACAATCGGCTGCCATGTATTCGTACCTTGACGTGGGGACTGACGAGGTACAGCAGGGGGTTGGCCCTCAGCCTCTCTGCCTCCTCAGCTTGCCGCCGCACCTCCTCGCGTCTCGCCGAACTCAGGACAGAGACCTCTTCCCGAGACATAGGGCCCGTCGCCTTCGGCAGCCCCTGGAAGTCGGGCAGACTCTTCTTGCGCTGCAGCGGCGTTGGAGCCGGCACGCTCTGCAACATGCACCCCTGTTACAGCACGAGGACTGATCCTTGCCTCGCAGTTCTTTAAAAGCGTACACACGGAAGTATGTAGGTGACGACAGTCTATTTACTAACAGAGGTTCTAATCTTGACATTTGCGGGCTGAAGGAGGAAGGGGCGGAAACAGACAAACCTACTGTTTATAGCAAAAGTTGAGAACATATTGGCCACTAGCGTACTTGTGTAATGTTCAGCAGAAGCTAACTAAAGCAATTGTCTATGAATCTCTAGAGGAAACTGACAATTAGTACAATAATACGTGCAGTGACATGGAGCTTGCACAGCCACTAATAGAGTGTATGTTTTGGCTCAGGTAGTAGTTGCTGCTACCGCGCCTTTACTGGTTGCAAATTCTGTATTCCTCACAGCTCTCGAGATTAGAATCTTCTACTGTAGTCGACTCATATATTCATAATTAGTCTTCAGCAAATATCACGGATTATGAGATTGACATGACGTGTAGAGCGAATGGGAGCGATAGGCAATAGGCACAGTAGGTTCGGTGGTTCATGAGCTGTGTCCCTATGATGTGCAGTAACTTTTACTGGAATAGATGCTTTGCAAACTGCTAACCAGCCAGTAGAGATAATTCAGTATGTATTTGTTCTTTTGTGCTTAGTACTACAAAGAAAGATCTTCCCTTCCGTGAGTCACTACCGTTGTTACCCTCCCTCACGCGCATCTCAGAGTTCATATGCTACCGAATGGCTTACATGGAGTATGAAAAGTAAAACCTGAAAGAAAAAAAGACTTGTGAGGCCCAGAGCTAGATGGAAGGATAAACCCTGCTTAAATGTATCTTAAAGAAAAAGCGCGCGAGTATTCACACTCTTCGAATTCAATTTTGGTCCGTATCGGTACAACGTAACCCGTTAATTTGTCTTCAATGAGCTGGAAATCTACATTTTGGCACTTTCCACAAAGAAGGATTATGATGCGAAAACTGACAAATAATATAAGATGCAGATTCAATTAATACTAGAGAGTTCACTTGGAATATTGTTAGGTGTGACGTATAGGCATGCATGCTTGATGTCCGATCATTCAGGGCAGCAGACTGTGCTACTGACCACTACCTGGTGGTGGCAAAGGTTAGGGAAAGACTGGCTGTGAGCAAACAAATAACACAAAGAGTTCATATGGAGAGGTTCAATCTCAAGAAATTAAATGAGGTAGAGGGTAAAGAGCAGTATTGTGTTGAAATCTCAAATAGGTTCACGGCTTTGGAAAACTTGGAAACTGAGGTGGATGTTAATAAATCTTGGTAAACTATTAGAGAGAATATAAAAATGTCTGCCAAAGAGAGTCTAGGTTATTATGAACCGAAGAAGCATAAGCCTTGTTTCAATCAAGGATGCTCAAAATTATTAGATCAAAGAAAGCAGGCCAAACTGCAGTGGTTACAGGATCCAAGCGAGATAAATGGGGATAATCTGAAGAATATAAGACGTGAAACCAGCAGGCATTTCACGAACAAAAAGATGGAATATCTCAAAGACAAAATTGACGAGTTGTAATGAACGGTAAGAACAAGAACATTAGAGACCTGTATAAAGGAATAAATGACTTTAAGAGGGGTTACCAGCCTAGCAGTAACTTAGTGAAGGATGAGAATGGTGATCTGCTTGCAGATTCCCACAGCATTTTGAATAGGTGGAGGAACTACTTCTCTCAGTTATTGAATGTACATAGGGTCAGTGATGTTAGGCAGACAGAAATCCATACAGCTGAGCCGTTAGTACCTGATCCCAACCCTTTTGAGGCTGAAAGTGCTATTGCAAACTTGAAATGTTATAAATTGCCAGGTAGTGATCAAATTCCGGCAGAATTTATTCAAGCAGGAGGCGAAATATTACGTTCTAAGATCCACAATCTAATTACGACTATTTGACATAAGGAAAAATTGCCTGATCAGGGGAAGGAGTCTATTATTGTACCAGTGCACAAGAAGGGTGATAAAACTGACTGTAGTAATTATCGAGGGATATCACTGCTATCAACTTCATACAAAATTTTATCCAATATTCTTCTCTCAACGTTAAGTCCATATATAGATGAAATTATTGGGGATCATTAGTGTGGGCTTCGACGTAACAGATCAACTACAGATCAGATCTTTTGCATTCGTCAGATATTGGAGAAGAAATGGGAGTACGATGAGACAGTACATCAGCTATTCATAGACTTCAAGAAAGACTATGATTCAGTTAGGAGGGAAGTATTGTACAATATTCTGATAGAGTTTGGGATACCCATGAAACTAGTTAGGTTGATTAAAATATGTTTAAATGAAACGTATAGTAAAGTCCGTGTAGGTAAATATTTGTCTGATAAATTTCCTATCCAGAAAGGTCTGAAACAAGGAGATGCTTTATCGCCACTCCTTTTCTACTTTGCTTCAGAATATGCCATTAGGAAGGTCCAGGGAAACCAGGTGGGACTGAAATTAAACGGAACACATCAGCTGTTGGCCTGTGCCGATGATGTGGATCTACTGGGGCATAATGTAGATACCATACAGTAAAATAAACAAACTTTAACCAACGAAAGTAAAGAAGTTGGTCTAGAAGTAAACGCAGAGAAAACTCAGTATATGTTGCTGTCTCGTAACCAAAAAGTAGGGCAAAATCATGATATAAAAATATGAAATAGGTGTTTTGAAAATGTGGCACAGTTCAGATATTTGGGAACAACGACAACAGATCGCAACCTGATTCAGGAGGAAATTAAGAGGAGACTGAACTCGGGTAATGCTTGCTACCATTCAGTCAAGAACCTTTTGCCTTCTCGTCTGCTGTCCAAAAACATAAATAAATGAATATACAGAACTATAATTTTGCCTGTGGTTCTGTACGGGTGTGAAACTTGGTCTCTGGAATTAAGGGACGAACAAAGAATTAATGTGTTTGAGAACAGGGTGTTGAGGAGAATATTTGGACCGAAGAGAGATGAAGTGACAGGAGGTTGGAGAAAACTGCATAATGAGGAGCTGCATAACTTTTACTCTTCTCCAAGTATAAGTAGATTGAACAAGTCATGGAGGATGAGGTGAGCAGGTCATGTAGCACAAATGGGGAGGCGAGAAATTCGTATAAGATATTGGTTGGAAAGCCAGAAGGAAAGAGACCACAGGGAAGACCAAGGAGTAGGTGGGTGTACAATATTAGAATGGATCTTAGAGAGATAGGATGAGATGTTATGGATTGGATAGATTTGGCTCAGGATAGGGACCAGTGGAGGGCTCTTGTGAACACGGTAATGAACTTTTGGATTGCATAAAATGGTGGGAAGTTCTTGAGTAGCTGCAGAATTGGCGGCTCCTCCAGAAGGGCTCAGCTCCATGAGTAAGTAAGTGACGTATAGGCACACCTAACGACATAGATTACACATTATTTTTTTGGCAGTGCCGTATCTGAGGTGAATATTAACACGTGACTAAAACACTTTATGTGCTGTGAGAAGACGAGATAGCTTAGATGGCACGGTAAAGGCTCACGGGTTGCACAGCCAGGTTCGAGTACCGGCCGGAGCATGAGATATTTCTCTACACCATAGAGTCCAGACCGTCCCTTGGGCCAATCTAGTCTCCTACCCAATGGGCACGAGGGCCTTTTTCCCCGGGGTTAGAACGGTCGGGGTATCAAGCTGACCACTCACCTCCATTTAGTTCCAAGGTAAAAAATGGTGGAGCTAAATCTCCAATCACCCATGTCTTCATGGCATAAACAAACAAACAAAAAATATCCGTGGCTTTAGTCCGCAAGCGAACTACACCGACCGAACGACCGCCGCTTATCGGCGAAGTTGGTGCGAACTTAGCGGATAGAGGGTGTCACGTGTCAGCGCAACGAATCTCGTTAATTCCGATTTTCTAGACCGGAGCCGCTACTTTCCCATCAAGTAGTTCTTCAATTTTCCTCACTAGTCTGAGTTGACCCCGTTCCAGACCCACTACTTCTCAGAAAATCTGGTAGAGCCAGGAATCGAACCCGGAACCTCTGGATGTGTAACCAGGAGCTCTTAGCATTAGGCCACAGAGGCGGTCCCCTTCATGGCATAATGCATAACTAATTAAAGAGCAGGAACAAATTTACATTTTCACGTTACAGGTATGTAGAGTGGTTACTTTCAGAATAACGCGCTGTATTTAGAGCAGGCCTGAATGAGGATCAAGACACATCAGGGACGCAGAGTAGCAAAGAAGGCGCATTTTCTGTAGTGCCAGAAGCTTGCTGCAACTTCCATTTCAGTCGGAGAGCACAGAGATGGTATACAAATTACATAAATATTACAACAGTGAATAATCCGCATGTTATGAGCAACAATAAGCTATTATATGAACTCACCAGCAGGAAGTTATATACAATCGCAGGCTATTGTTAATAATTACCGGTTGATTACTATTACCACCACATGTATATATTGTGGCATGTAGGCACGTTGTTATGCAACGACCGCGAAATAAACAACTATACAACGGCCGTTATTAGGCAGCGGCCTGTAAACAGCAACAGAAAAATTGTGTTTCCTGTGCGATCCGTGCCGAGCTGTTATAAGCAGGACAAGTTAGAAGCCAGTGGAGATTTGGTTGGTGTAGTTAGTGAGTGAGTGAGTGAGTGAGTGAGTGACTGAGTGAGTGAGTGAGTGAGTGAGTGAGTGAATGAGTGAGTGAGTGAGTGAGTGAGTGACTGACTGAATGAGTGAGTGAGTGAATGAGTGAGTAAGTGAGTGACTGACTGAGTGAGTGAGTGAGTGAGTGAATGAGTGAGTGAATGAGTGAGTGAGTGAGTGAGTGAGTCAGTCAGTCAGTCAGTCACTCAGTTAATTAGAGAACATATTTGGTTTAGTCGTTGTGAGCTTCTGCTCTTAGAAGCTGGTAGCTGAGGCCGGAGGCCGTTCGGGAACCCAGAGGAAGGAAAACGTCAGTCGTTGCAAGCCGCTACCAAGCAACAGCAGTGAAGACATAACTG